GCCGGCAATGACAGTCAGAGCAGCAAGTGAGGGAGCCGGCCTGTACACACTGCCCTCTCACTGATCCTTCTCCTGCCCCTCTCCTTGCATACATTGTCTCTTTTGTTTACATTCTGCTCTCAGAGGGAATCCAGCAGAGATAAGTCAATGGTTGTTAGGACACCGACGGGTGCCGGATCCTAACAACCAATGCAAAAACAAACCCCTTTTCTGTTTACATCCAGTTATGTCCACTTCCATTTTTTAAACAGACCAAAATTAGAACTATGATCTGTTTAACCACTTGCCCTCCTGAGGATTTACCCCGCTTCCTGACCAGGCCATTTTTTGCGTTTACCATTATCATTGAAAGTGAAAATTAAAGCAAAACCCAAATTTTGGGTTGTCCCCAGAAAAGTAATAGAGGGAAAATCTTCCAATAGGGACACTAGTTCTTATGACCTGAGGGTCCCCAAGGAATTCTTTTAACCACTTGAACTCCTGAGGATTTACCCATTTTGTGTGTTACTGCGCTGTTTTACTTTAACTGACAATTGCGTGGTCATACAAAGCTGCACCCAAATTAAAAGTAGGTCATTTTTTTCCCACGAATTGAGCTTTCTTTTGGTAGTATTTTCTCACTTGTGCGTTTTTTATTTTTTGCGCTATAAAAAAAAAAAGACCGAAAATTTTGAGAAAAATACAAAATTTTTGACTTTTTGCTATTAAACATGTCCAGTAAAAAAATTAAAAAAAAATCAATTTTAATCATAAATTTAGGCCAAAATGTATTCTGCTACATGTCTTTGCTAAAAAAAAATCCCAATATGTGTAAATTAATTGGTTTAGGTGAAAGTTATAGCGTTTACAAATGGGGGTATAGATACTGGAATTTGTTTTTTTACTAGCAATGGCGGCGATCAGCTACTTATAGCGGGACTGTGGTGGGCATTCTGACACTGGGGGGAACTGACTTGGTGTCACTAATATCCCCAGTGACACCAATACAATGATCGGTGCTAATAAAAAGCACTAACACTGTACTAATGGCACTGGACAGGAAGGGGTTAACATGAGGGGTGATCAAAGGGTTAACTGTGTGCTGGGAGTGTTTTACTGGAGGGCGGTGTGTTGGTGCTTCACTATAAGCACACTGCTCTGGATGGCTGTGCTGTGCACAGCCATCCAGAGTAGTTTGCCTGAGCCGACAGGGAGGAGGACTGTTAGTAAACAAAGCAGATGTCCTCCCCACATCGGAGATCCTTGTAATCGCCCCCCCTACTGGGCGTATATATACGTAATTTTTGTGCACCCCTGCCAGCCCTGTAGCAGCATATCTGCTATAGGGCGGTGGGGATGTAGTTAAAAAAACGAATGCGGATGCAAACAGCTAATCATCTGTTTACATCCATTTTCCCATAGACATGCATTGATGTCCGCTTTTCATCCATCAACAGATGGTTAAAAAATGGCCAAATGATCTGCATGTGTAAAAGGAGCCTTATGCAGGTCATACATCGGTCAAATTCCGAAAGCGTTTTCTTTCAAAAATCGTAACTAAGAATTTTCTTTCGAATTTCACACCATTAAGTGGGCCACAGCATTGGCCATCGAATTTAAGTGATCAGGCATGTTGGAAATTTTTTGAAAAAGGAAAAATTTCTAATCAATGATGGAAGAATCGTGCAAGAAGTATAATCAAAAAAGAAATGAGCATGAGCTGTGACCTGGAAAGAAAAGAAGATTCCCAGCCACAAAACTTCTTTTCTATAGCAACATGAGGTGAAATTGAAGGTCGGTTGGTCGAATTTCAAAATCAATGGTGGCATCATCGGATTACAATATGCATGAAACTTCTGATTTTCTAAAGAAAATTCATTCAGAATTCGACCCATGTATGGCCTGCATAAGACTTCATTCACATGGCCATACGTTTTAAATTATGGAACTGAATGCAGCTGCTTTTTTTTTTCAATGGAGCCATTCACACAGGTGCGTAAACATGAGCTGCTTTCATATTTGTAACACAGAATCCAAAAATGTGCATCTAAAAATATGTGCTTTACGTGCTTACGCATATAAATGTATAAATTAAGTGTAAACAAGGGGGAAAAATACATTATCAAAAAAAAACAAACTATGTACGCATATGTGTCTTTACGCATTTAAACACATCTGTACACAAGTATTTTACTAATCATTGTGCAGGTACTTTCTCCTAGAAAATATGTGTAACAACATCAGTCATCTTTTTTATGGTCGTGTGAATGAAGCCTTAAAAGGAACTAATATTGAGAGATAAATGTAAGCTACTCTTGACTACCTTCTGAAAATAATAGTTGCTTAGCTCCAGTGGCTGTAATACTTCCCTGAACCAACATAAGTGTATATAATAGGAATTCTGATTTCGCTGGTAATATGCTTTCCCTGGGTCAGTGATGTAAAGGGTATTGAAGGCATCAAAGCCAAATAAGTAGCATTCCCAGCAATGACAGCCTATACTTAGTAAGGATTTCTGTTAATAACACCTTCCATCTACAAAGCTTTTTTTAATGCTTCTGGCAGTGTAATCTTTCATGTATCCATTATGTTACAATTCTTTAATGTATCACTTTTGTTTCCAAAAACTTATTCTATGTATCCAGTTATTATTTTCCATGACAAAACATTTTTGATAAAAATGTCGACATATCCCTTATGGTATATGGAAAAGACAAAACATCTCTAAAGAAATGCCCTGAAACATAGTTAAACCAAGTTGTTAACAATTTAAAGTGTTACTAAACCCACAACAGTAAAATCAGTCTGTATATGCCGTAAAGCATGCTTGTTATACGCACTGGGGAACCTAAAGGGTTAATCCTCTGCATCGTGTAAAAAGGGCTGTTTGATCCTAACTTTTCTGATCCTCTCCTTCTTCCAGTGTCCCTCTCCTATCTCCTGATAAGACACGGTGTAGAGTCTCTCTGCACATGCTCAGTTTGGTGTGTAATACTAAAGAGGTTTTTTTTTATTTTTCTTGGGAGAGTGCATGTGATCAGCACAGAGCCAATCAGCACTGTCCAGACAGAGGTCAGGGGTTCTGCATCCTCCTAGAGCAAAATGAAAACTCCTTCTACAAGCTTTAACCAGTGCTCAGCTGGACACTGATAGAAGTCACAAGACTGCTCTAACTGCTGATGAGAAAAAGTATTTAGCAGTTTATATTTACTAAAATAATTGCATTTCCATGTTATTTATTTCAGGTACTTATATAGCACTGTCAATTTACGCAGCGCTTTACATATATATTGTACATTCCCATCAGTCCCTAACCCTCAAGGGGTGTACAATCTAAGGACCCTAACTTACATTCATACATACACATACTAGGGACAATTTAGACAATTAACCTACCAGCATGTCTTTGGAGTGTGGGAGAAAACTGGAGTACATGGAGGAAACCCACGCAGGCACAGGGAGAACATGCAAACTGCAGGCAGGTGGTGCCATGGTTGGGATTTGAACCAACAACCCTAGTACTGCCAGGTGGTATTGGTATTCAAAATTACAGATTCGCAGACTCACATTTACTGCAGTGGTATAGTGGGGATGACAATTTTCATCTTGCGTTTGACTTGCTTTGCTTTAAGTTTCTTTGGACGTAGCATGTCCTCTTTGGATTTGTTTTTGTGGCAGGCAAAGTAGGTAAAATGATTCCTTTTGCTGCGTTTTGCGTTCAAGTGCATATTTTTGAGCAGTGTTGCTTTCGAACGCAAAAACAATGCCCATCTGTACAAACCTCATTGTGCCTCTCTCTTGGTGTTCTCCATTATCAGCACCATCACAGAGAACAAAACATTGCTATATAGCCAATATTTACAAATTGTGGAAATGACTAATAATTTTATAGTACGTCTGTCCCTAGTAAGAGAGCTCAATGTGTCCCAGAGCACCCTGAGGCATTGAAAACATTCCTTACACTTTTAAAATTCATGTTGCCCTTGCTGAGAGTAAGCAGTGGAAAATTAAAAGTTTTGTCCCTTTAATTTAAATATGGGATACTTCCAGCTGCAAAGATTTAAGACTCTTTAACTTAAATCTATGTAGATTTGTTGTATTATTTACCATGGCTCAGAGTGACCATTGTGACAATAAATCTAAAAGTATTGTAATAATAATTTGGATGCTGATGGACTTGGTGAAAACATATTAATATTAATTTGCTTAAATGACTAATTTAATGTAATATCAATTAAATAAACATATTAATATTACATTAAATTAGCTATTAGTTAACTGCTGCATGTCCAAGGACTATTTTATTGATGACATTGGTTGGTTGGTTAGAACTCAGAATGAAATCTAACAAAGGGAAAAGTGTAGCTTTACCTGAAAGATCACTGTTAAAATTCAGGGGCAAACTATTTTCTATGATAAGCATTCCCTGTCCTTAGAAATCAGTGACACTTGGTAGCTGGAGATGATTGCAATAGTTGAATTCACACTTGTCTCTGGCATGTGCAGAAATAGTTTCAATTTACACCTTCACAACTTTCCAATACTCTTCTGCTTCTGACTTTTCATTTCCTGACTATCCCTCTGTCACCAAGCATGTGTCACACTATACTGTATATATTTGGATGTCCAAGCATTAGAATATACTGTAAGTAAAATAAACCAAAATCAGTAAAAGCTGAAAAACGTGCAACCCATTACAGTGTGTTCTAAGGACACTGCTTGGTGCATGACCAACAGAGAATGACTACTGTAGGCAACAGGTGCTTCTGGTATAGTATATGTGATGGATGCTAAGGATGCTTGGTTGCCCATAATGATTAGCCCAAAGTTAAAAGTCCTTTTAAATAAATTGCATTAACCTTAAATTAACTTTTCACAAGTGTCATCAGTATAACAAAATTCACCAAAAGTCACATAGCTGATGAAAAATCCAAATCTTTGCTCTGTGGCTTCATTCACTTTTAAACTGAATCTATTACATGACTGTTGGGATTATTATCACCCAATACCTATTCTGACAATTATGGCAAGCAGGGTCTTCTATACAAGATACCATCCCCAACCCATCTTCGGATGCAGCTAGACCATAATAATGAGAAGGACCCTACCTTGGCATAGCAGAAGGAGATGAGCAGGAGAGGAAGAAGGTACCCAAACACAAAGGTGCACACCACATAGATCCTCTTGTGCTTCGGATTTGGCCACTGCTCCCAACAGAAGGTCATATTGTTGTCTCTGTGTATCAATCGTTGGTTGTAGGCAACAGGAATAGCCATGGCAATAGACAGGAACCAGATGAGGATTACTCCAAGCATGGCATTTCTGGAGACACGGATGGTGGACGATCTCCTGGAGTGCACTATTGCCACATAGCGATCAACTGACATGGCAGATAAGGTGAAGATGCTCACCAGCATGGACACGGTTAGGAAGTAATGGATGAACTTGCAGATGAAAGCTCCCAGCACCCAAGTTGGCAGGACATAGACAGTGGACTGGAAAGGGATGCAGAAAAGTAAGTAGGCAAGGTCAGCGATGCTGAGGTTGAGGATGAAGATGTTGGTGGTGCTGCGAGGCTTCCCTGGTTTGTTTCTTGCCAGGACAGTAATGACCAAAGAGTTGCCCAAGACCCCTAGAGCGAAGATGATGCAAAACACCACCAGGGTGATTATGTTATCAATGCCAATTTCTAAAAGGGGTTTGACTGATGCCTGTTCAGCAGTGACGTTGGTGTCCTGAGTGAGACCATCACTCTTATTGCCCAGCTCAGCCAGGAGATCCATGGCTCAGAGTTAGCAATGATCAGTGATCTTTCCCTTAAAGATCTCTTCTTTCCTTCAGTGATCTCTCCTTTCAGTGATCTCCTCTTTCCTTCAGTGATCTCCTCTTTCCTTCAGTGATCTCTTCTTTTCTTCAGTGATCTCCCCTTTCCTTCAGTGATCTATTCTTCTCTTTAATGATCTTGTCCCCCAGTCAATGATCTCTTTCTTCCTTCAATGGTCTCTTCTTCCTTTTAATGATCTATTCCTATAAATGATCTCTTGTTCTTCCCTTCAATTAAATATTCTTGCTTTTAGTGATCTCTCCTTCTTTCCTTCAATGATCTCTTTTTCCCTTCGATGATCTCTTTTTTCCTTCAGTATTCTTTTTGCTTCAATTATCTCTTTTTTTTAATGCTCTCTTCTTACCTTCAATGATCACTTTATTTTAGTGATCTATTCTTCCTTTCAAGGATCTCTTCTTCCCTTCAACGATCTCTTTTTTCAGGGATCTCTTCTTCCCTTCAATGATCTCTTCTTCTTTCCTTCAGTTATCTCTTTTTCCCTTCAGCTATCTTTTCTTTCCTTCAATTTTAAAGTAAAAGTGAGAGCAGCAGCTATCAGACAGTCCCGGATCTGATCAGAGTATCTAACAGGTGATCGGGGTGTGATCAGGCAGCGCCAAGTAGAGGAGAAGTTTGGATGAGCGATGAGCAGAGAAGGTGCCGCTAGCTGCTGCCTCCAATGTGACTGGCTCACTCTCTGCCTGGAGTCCTCACCTCTCTGTTCTATCAGCTGCGCATGGCAGAGAAAGCAAGCCCTCTACTAGTTACAGCACACACACATAGCCAATTGCACAGGCTCAGCTCTCTCAGAGCCTCTTCCTATGTATCAGCCTTATGCCTCTTGTTATTTCTCTGACTTGCCTGGTATCAGCAGGGATTATCTTCCTGGCAATGTTATAATTGGGTTAACAGCTAGGAGAAGAGAAGCACAGCAAATACCACTTCTATGTCATAACAGTAGTCATGGGGTTAAAGTGAATCTATCAGCATAGAAATATGGGAAATGTCATTACTGTCTATGCATGTGCAGTGGTATTTTGACAAAATTGATTGCGCTGTTAAATTACCCGTTTCGCTATCTGAGAAAGTTTTCCGAAGAGGAAACTCTCAATTTTGTTCACTGAACTTCTCCATCCGATAAAGGGAATATGTCAAATAATGAGAACGGGGGTAAAGCAGTCAAAATCTGAAAGTTCTGTTGTGCGAAAAATGAAAATAGCTCATATGATTGTGCCATCAATTGTTTTGTTTTTATAATAAAAATCCATCATGTTGGATCAAGCACTTTCGATTGCAGCATGAAAATCACGTGTTGCAGCTGGCACACTAATGATGGGGAAATCGAACGATTTTAAATTTTTGTTCGGTTTTCCCATCATCTGTGGCCTGCTTAACGTTAACTCCTTTTTGCCCATCCCAGTGTCCTTTTAACTGGGTCTTAGCCTGGGTTCACATATATGCAGTGCGGTATATCGCATGTGATTCGCACAGGAACCGCACTGCATTCCTGTGCAAATCACATGCGATTTGTGTGCGGTGCAATTGGAGCCATACATTTTTGTATGTCTCTAATCACACAGCACCTGCATCAAAAAGGTGCAGGACCCTTTTTTGGTCCGCACTAGAATCGGATTGCATGGGTATTCACACCTATGCGATCCAATTCTTTACAATGCACCGCGTTTTGCAGACCACTTTCAGGGTGTTGTTAATTTAACATACACACCTGTTGTGGTTCGCATGAATGGGGTGCGATTCTGATGCGGTGCGGAATTTGCACAGAAAAAGCTGCAAATTCTACACCACATCAGTGTGAACCAGGGCTTAAAGTGGTTGTAAAGATAAAAGGTTTTTAAATGCAGCTCCCCCACCAGCCCCGCAAATACTCACCTCAGCCCAATCTCGGTCTAACGCTGTGTACATTTGCAACAGCTCTTGTCCCCTTTCACAGTTTTAATAGGCTTAGCTGACAGCAGAATGAGCCATTGGCTCCCACTGCTGTCAGTCAAAACCTGTTATCGGGGAGTGGGGCCAAGCAGCAGTGTGTGGCTGAATAGACACAAAAGCCCAGCTCAGGAGTGCCTCCATAAGAAGTAGCTTGCTATGGGGGCACTCTGCTCGGGGGAGAAGCCAGGTGCACTGGTGGGGATCCTGAAAAGAGGAGGATCGAGGCTTCTCTGTGCAAAACGCCTGCACAGAGCAGGTAAGTATGACATGTTAGGTATTTTAGTTTAAAAAAAAAAATAATATCACTTTAATGACAGGAGGGACAGACTTCCCAGTCATGTGATTGGTGGTCACAGTGTATGAGACGCCACATATCAAAATCAGCCAAAACTCCAGATGGATAGAACATTGCATCAGCCTACGCTCAACATGGTGGGCTAAAATGCATCAGAGGGAGTGGCCTGGAAGGAGTAAGGTTGAATCTGCTTTCTGCCCATCTGGAGTTCCAGCTGATTCTGGAGTGTGGCATCTTCTTTTTCTCACACATTGCAGTAAGCTAGGATGGGCTTTCTAGACACCAGCACTCACCAGCAGTGGATGGGTTTTGGATTGGCACTTGGAGTGGTGCTCAATGAGGTTTAGCTGTCACATGATTGGGAGCCTTTCCAGCCAACTGCCAATTAGAAACAAACAGCTCTTGTCTCTGTGCTGGAAGTGCACAGTAATTGTGCTCTCAGCACAGAAACATCAGCCACCATGGACACACATTGTATGTGTGGTATGTGGGCATTAAGGCATATGTATTATGTGGTTGGCAAAAAGTTAACTTGAACTTTATTAATCAGGTATAGAACAGGATTAACGTGTCACTTGTAGGGTTAGTTCACCTTTTCGCAACAAAATGAAAAGATGGACTAACTCAACCCCCCACAACCCTACCTCCATTCCACACTGAATTTAGCTCCTTCTATGATTATCTTCCTGCCTGTGCCAGCTGGTTAAGCTGGTTAGAGACTGTACCTGGACAAATTGGGGCCACATCTGGCTCTTTTGGCTGTCCCTATTCATCCCTCAATGTCTTCACTGTCAGTATGCCTCTTTGGGACTGTCTAGCTCAGAGAGGCACACTGGCAGATGTCCATGTGGAGAGCTGCAAGAACTGGAAGGAGAGAGCCTGAGGAGTTGATTGGTACAGTAGGGAGGCTCTGTTCCTGTGGGGGAGCATGGCCTAGGTGATGTTCTTAAACTCTCTGGTTACTCTGCTACTTGGCCAAGTTTTTCCTGTGTTAGGGCCTACATGCTGCTGACTCCTGGACCCATGCACATGTTCTTCACTCAAGGTCAAAATCTGCAGAAATCACCACAGATCTCAGGCTCTCTCCTTCTAGTCACAGTGCTTTTCAAGGGGCATTTGACAGTTTGTGTGGGGGTGTTATATCCAGGGGAGGACTGACCATTTGGAAACTCGGGCAATGCCCGAGGGCCCGGTGTCAGTAGGGGGCCCCATGAGATGCCCCTTTTTCATAGGCTTTTTTGAGTTTGGGCAAGGACACAGGGGCCCCATGATCCCCTATTGCCCGGGGGCCCCATGAGTTGTCAGTCCGCCCCTGGTTATATCGTCTCCTCACCACCTAAGTTAGCCTTTTAATGGTATACTAACCCTTTAACTCAATGGCCAAAAATTAAAATTCAATACCATAATTAGGTTTCATTTTTCTACTCTAATATTAGCATCAGGCAGCACAACCCCAGATCTGGTTTTCAAATCTGCTGTGCTTGTATTTTCATTATGAGTGTAGATAAGTTTGTTTTGGTGCATAATTCATAATAGTGCAGATGTGTTACACTTTACCAATAGAAACAGGGTCAAAATGGCATAAAGGTGTACATACATCACAGAAAAATGGTAAACCAGTGATGAAGCTATACCAATAAGTGCTCATAAGAGCAATGTCTCTGCAAACTCAATAAAGACAGTAAGTGGCAGTACAGCACATTTTCTATAGGGCTCTGTAGCCACAGATGTAAGACCCTGTTTTTGACATGCAATTTTTATGCAATTCTGCCTGTCACATAGTGCAGCTCATTCACTTGCATGGGCTGCCCTATGTGAGTTTGTCATATGAAGTTCCTGCTCCTTTTTTGGGCGACAAGCTTCATATGAATTGTCAAGGCATGGTTTCCCACCATTGCCACACAAACCTGTCCTGTGACAATTGTGACAGTATCACATCATGTTTGGGGTGCCATTGAAGGATAATGGCATTCAAATATGTATGCACTGTTGCATTAATTTTTTAATTTTGCTTTTTTACTCTTTTCTTTTTTCTATGACATAAAATAATTATGCTAATGAAGGGACATTCCTAGGCACAAAAATAGGTCCAGAATAGTTGAAATAAGCCTCAGGAGCAATTTAAAATCAATTTGAAAATCCACACTATTCACAGTTTGTATCTATCAGCGCCACGTACAAATATTTATATGTACGAAAAAAAGCAAAGGCGTAAAGGACTTTTAAGGTGCTCGTATACCCTCCGGATAGAAAACTTTGACACATTAAATGCATAAAAATTATGAAGTTTTATTACACATAGTGAAATAGAACATACACGACACACCCTCCCATAAAAGCAAGTAAGAACATAAATTCTTCATTACAGTGAACCCCATTTCACACCTTCCCTCATATAACAATGACCAACCATGACCAAAAGGTCACTAAAAGGTATAACATGAAATTAGGAAGGTGATAAGATGGTAAATTCCAACGCATTTCACGGAGTTGGCTTCTTCAGGGGTTCAAAGTAGGGGAAAGTATTGTAAATACAGAAGGGATCATGAAATACAGTATATCAAATAGTAATTCTTTTCTTACACATCAAAGTATGACAACACAGATGAACCTTGTTATAACCAACATCGATTTATAGAAATTATATTAATGTAAATTACCCATTACTGATTGCTCAAATCAAGGATCGACCCCAAGAGAGAGAGAGAAGTGGGCAC